ATGCTTGCTCTCACTCGTGCACTCTCTCTCTCAAAATTAAAAAAAAAAAAAAAAGTGTCAGGATAAAGTTGGAGAAGGTGACCAGAGTACAGAAGGTCTGGATCACATGCTGAGGGACTTAACTTGGACTTCTGGGATTCAAGAAGGAAGAACTTACCTTGTACAGAACTTGCCAGTCGCTGACCTTGGTGTGGGACAGCTTCATGCGTTTCAAAATCAGCTACAGTCAAAGGGACAGCCATTGTTTTCCCTCTCCCACTCTAATGCTCCTCAAAAAGCCCCATGTCCAATATTGACCCTCAAACTCCTTCCCCACCTCCCGGCCCCCACCCCTGGCTCACAGGCACATTCTTGATATGACCCAGCAACCGATGCAGCATTTGAGCCATGTCCAGATTCTGGGGTAGTAGGAAAAACTGGATGACATCCAACCGAGAATTTAGCTCTCCCAGGTCGTGAGTCGGACGTGTGAACCATAGCCTGGAAGTGAGGCATGACACGGGGGGTGGGGACAGAAATTACATCTGTTCTCGTTATTGTCTTGATCCCAGTTTGTGAAAATGTGTGTCTGGAGGTCCCTGGGGATTGTGGTAATCAGTATCTGTACTGGCAAGTATCTATGCGGGCGTGTTTACACAGATCTACTAAAAATCTCTGCATGTGAGCACGACTCTGTTTATCATGGTTTTGATGGATGTAACCATGTGTCATTCCATGTGGATATGTAATGGAGCTTGTCAATATTTAGAGGGAGTGTAGCGTATTGAGGTATTTGTGTGCCAACACTCTAGTTCTCTCTGCAGCTGAGTAGGAGACGGTGAGTCAGCGTGAGTTTATCTGCATTTAGCTGTGAAAGTGTCTCTGGGTGTAATTGCACACACGTTCATCTTCTCTTGTTGTTCTGTAAAAGTATATAACCATTCCATGTGGAGTGATAATCCTCAATTCATGATAATGGTCATCTCTGCAGAGAAGGATTGGGAAGGATACTGAACAGGCTTCAATGACATTGTCTTTTTTTTTTTTTTTTTTTCTTAAGTAAGTTCTATACCCACTCTGGGGCTCAAGCTCATGACCCCAAGATCAAGAGTCATATGCTTGGGGTGCATGGGTGGCTCAGTCAGTTGAGCGTCCGACTTCAGCTCAGGTCATGACCTCGCAGTCTGTGAGTTCAAGCCCTGTGTCGGGCTCTGTGCTGACAGCTCAGAGCCTGGAGCTTGCTTTGGCTTCTGTGTCTCCCTCTCTCTCTGCCCCTCCCCTCCTCATGCTCTGTCTCTCTCTCTGTCAAAAACATTAAAAAAAAATGTTTTAAAAAAAGAGTCATATGCTCTACCAACTGATCCAGCCAGGCGCCCCTTCAAAAACATTGCCTTATTCTTAAAATTGTTCGTGCAAACATAGACGTTTGTATTATTATTACTTCCACATTTTGTGTGCCTGAGGTATTTCCTAATAAATTAGTATACGGTAATAAATGTTTCTTCTGTGTTTGTCTAATTCTGGGTGCCCCTATCTTCTCTATGGCTATGAAGAGTGTGAGACTCTGCAAGGACCTGTGAGCCCATGAATTCTTTTCTGTATTAGAGCAAGCCATTAGGCATGTTATTTTACTTTATTTATTTTTTTAATGTTTATATATTTTGGGGGGGAGGGGCAGAGAGGGAGGGAGACAGAGGATCCAAAGAAGGCTCTGAGCTCTCAGCGCAAAGCCCGATGCAGGGTTCAAATCCCCAAACTGTGAGATGATGACCTGAGCCAAAGTCAACGGACTGAGCCACCCAGCCACCCCAGGCATGCTACTTTATATAAAGAACCAACCTATGGAGACACTATGGCCCGAGGATATGTATCTCACACTATATAGTCTATGGCCAGTTACCCTGGGTTAGAACACCCCAGGTTAGAGTAAAGTGGAGAATTAAGTTGGATTCGAGGGTAGGTTTTAGGCACCTCTGCTCCTTAGCCACAGAGAGCTCCACCAGCAGCTGTGTAGGTCAGTCTGTGAATACTCTTCCCCACCTTGGAGAGTACAAGCAGACTTTCTTGTAAAATACCTAGGTTTTTCAGGGCGCCTGGGTGGCTTAGTCAGTTAAGCATCTGACTTTGGTTCAGGTCATGATGTTGCGGCTTGCAAGTCTGAGCCCTGAATGGAACTCTCTGCTGTCAGCACAGAACCCACTTTGGATTCTCTGCCCCTCCTCCACTTGTGCTCACACTAGCAATCTCTCTCTCTCGCTCTCTCTCTCAAAAATAAATAAGCATTAAAAAAAATACTTAGGTTTTTCTGACTCACGTACTGCTAGTGCCAGGAGAAATCTTAGTCAAGCTGAACCTCCTAATTCTATAGCTGAGGAAATGAAGCCCTTAGACAAGCAGCTTGTCCAAAATCTAGAGCTGGGTCTCAAACTCAGGTCTCCAGACTGTGAGCACAGTGCTCTTTAGAGCATAATGTGACATTCAGTCACCTTCCTGGTGCCCTGTCCAGTTGGAGGCCAACTGGGTCCTTAGTTCATGATTCAGGTTGTGATTCCATGCCCTGCTGGATCCTACCTGGGGGGATCTGCATTCCTCCCCTCCCCTTTAATGCTGATCTCTTCTCCCCTGAGAATTCCTTCTCTCTCATCCCTGGTTGAGATTAGAGATCTGCACCTGTAGAATGTGTGGGTAATGAAGGCATCCCAATTACCTGGAGATGACCTCAGATTATCCTAAATTAATCTCTAAAAGACACACAGTGCAGGGCAGGTGAGGTGGGTAAAGGATTGCGCACCTGTAGGCTAGCAAAGGTTTCAGCTCTGAGTTTGTACAGATGACTTGACCAATGTGTTTGCATTTGTGTACCTACTCACTCACTCGGTGCTACTACATACAAGGCCATGTGGCAGGCACTGAGGTAACAGGAATGACCGCTGTACGGAGCTCACAGCTATGAGAACAAGCAGATTCACCGACCGCTAACTCCAACCTGACGTGACAGTGCAACTAGAAAACAAACAGGCAACGTGAGAGCAAATGGGAAGGTGTGTGTCAGTATCCTTATGGGTGCCTGTGAAAGTTTCACCACGAAGGTGATAGTTGGCTTGTACCTTGAAGAAGATGTAAGATTCTGACAGGTGAAGAACAAGGGAAAAACTTTCCAGAGGGAACTGCATAAACATGGGCATGGTGTATTTCCATGATGGAAAGTGGCCCAAATGACTGGACTATAGGGCAGATCCAGTAAGGATGGATTTAGGAAGGGCTTGGGAAAATAATCATGGAAGTTTAAATTGGGGTGAATGGGAGGGGCCCTGAACATCATACTGCTAAAGATGTTAATCTCCATCCCACGGAGAACGGGGAAGTCTGAGGTTTATGTTATTTTGTTTTTACTTAAGGTTTAAAAAAAAAAAAGTGGAGTGACATGCTCAGATCTCTGTTGTGGAATGATAAGTATTTTAGAACGAAGGACAGATTGGAAAAAGAAGAGATTCAAAGCACAGAGACCAATCTGAAGGTGAATACAATGCCCAAGGTTAGAAATGATTACAGCCAGAGTTAGAGCAGTGGAAAGAGGGAGAGAGATGGCTGAGAAAGACATTTCAGGGTACAATCAATAGGCCTTAGTGAATAATTGAATATGAAGGGTGAAGGAGAAGCATCAATCCAAGGTTGAGAAGCAGTACTGCCAGCGATGCCATTATGCAGATAAAAAAGGATGCAGGAAGACGAACAGGTCCAGTGGGCATCAGTTTAGATGCTCTGAGCTTGAACTGCCTATAGAAATTGCAACTGGTGATGATGTGCGGTGAGCATCCCACATATACAGCTCAGAAATAGAGACACAATTTTGAAAGTCAACAGACAATAGCTCAAATGTGAAGTGTGGTTTTTATAATTAAAGATAGTACCATGTGGGGCCTGGCATGTGACTCTTGATCCTGGGGTCATGAGTCTGAGCGCCACGTTGGGAAGTTGATTGTACTTAAAATTTAAAACTCTTAAAAAAAGTAAAGATAGTACCATATGAGGTCGAAACTTCCAGTTATTAAAAAAAAGACAAATGTATAGCATAAGGAATATAGTTAATAATACTGTGATAACTTTGCATGGTGACAGATGGTAGCTAGAGTTATCATGGTGATCACTTCGTAATGTATATAAACACTGAATCACTATATTGTATACCTGAAACTAATATAATATTGTATATCAACTACACTTCAATAAAAAAAGATATTACCATGTGTGCATTAGTGTTTTGTGATTGTTTCTGCTGCTTGCATGTGTGCCAGTCTGTACCATCAATGGGCATACGTATATCTGTGCTGACAACACAGAATGAGGATACTAGCTACCACACGGGATTGGTGTGAGGATTAAACGTGTTTAGCCAGCATTTGGGAAATGGCAGTTCTCAGCACTATGAGATGGGGTGGTTTGTGTGAGTCTGTAGAATGAATGCATTAACCTGCAGCACATGTGTGAGACTTACCTGAGCAGCTTCTGTCCCCACTTACAGTGGCATCTATTGAGGATTCCTGTGGGGAGCAGGGGCAGGCAGTGAGCTTGTTACAAGGCAGAGGCAGAAAAAGGAATGTGTGGGTGTGTCTAAACTGAGGCATCCGGGCCAGAGGTTCGGTTAGGACAGAGTTCGGACAGGCTGGCCTGGGGGCGTTCCGCAGATACAGAACACAAAGGCAGCTAAAGCCAGCGACTGGCCACAAGTCTGAGCCAGGATTACCGTCCGTGGGTTTAGGGAGGGATAGCCACTCACAGGAACAGTTGGCCAGAAAAATACACAGAGCAGCTGTGGTTGGATTCACAAAGAGGCCAACACATATATGTAAACATTAGACACAATCCACTGAGGTATGCACAGTAAAACCATGCGGCTACTTGGGGAGATGTCCCCACTACACCCTAAAGCCAGAGACAGCAGACAAAGACTCAATGCAAATAAGTTATGCATAAGTTATGGACAGTTATGCAGTTATATAACTCTCCTCTAAACATAGGGACTCCCAAAGTCCCTAGACAGGTGCACAACCAGCAGAAACATCCATAGAAACCCAAGGAAGGAACATGGAATTGGTAAAGTAAGAGATGATATGCAAATGACACTGGACAACTATGGATGGGGGGGGAGGGTGCTCAAGCTCAGGGAGGGTACAAGGAGCATCAGAAAGCTGGACTGGAGTGGAAGAGACATCTGGCAACAGGAGTGAAGTGGGAGGGAAGAGGGACTGGAACACATGTCGGGAGGCAGCTGCTTTTCTGGCAGCATTTTGTAGTGTGGGATGAGGGAAGGGGCATACCTACCAAACAGGCTAAGCCCCTCCTTCAGTCCACTGGCCACTTTGTACACTGAAGGGTGAGACTCACTCTTAAATATCTGCAGAACACTGTAAGGGAGAAGTGAAGGAGCTTGCGGTAACTTGGATTTAAAAAAAATTTTTTTGAAGTTTATTTTTGAGAGAGAGAGCAGGGCAGAGCCGGCCCGGGCCCCCCCCCCCGGAGAAAGAATCCCAGGCAGGCTCTGCACTGTCAGCATGGAGCCTGACACGGGGCTTGAACCCTGAACCATGAGATCATGACCTGAGCTGAAACCAAGAGTCAGACACTTAACCGACTGAGCCACCCAGGAGCCCCAAGGTAACTTGGATTTTTTAAAGGGAATTGAGAAGATGGAAGGGAGATTGGGAACATCCTCCTGAGATTAAATTTTGTTGTAAGGTCTGTCCCTCACTTCTGTATCAGTTTTTCTCTTTAGAAAAGGAAGGTGACACCTTTGGGCTTTTCTCCCTCTCTTCCCTTTTCTTCAAGGAGAGAGACCTTAATAACCCCTGGATTAAAGAAACTGGAGCCTCACTGGGATTATTAGAGTATTAAACTTAATCCTTCTCTCTCCCCAGAGACGACAGCCTGCCTCCATCTCCTTACCTGTAAGTGTCTTGATCTATGCTCACCAGATGGGTCCTGAGGACAGAAAACAAGAAGAAAGAAAGGTGGCTGGGGTAGGAGTGGTGTGAGTTCATTCTTAGGTTCCACCCCCTAGATCCCCCTCCTGGAATACTGTCTCAGTCATCTCCCCGGAGCTCCACACCCCCTTCAGGTGCTCCTATGTGTCCTAGAGCACTTTACCTGATGGGTCACTGCCCACTCCTCCCACCCCCCTCCCCCACCTTGTCTTGCTATTAAGACCTCCCAATCCCACCTTACTTTGCTTGAGGTTAGGGTAAATCACCTACAACACAAATTTCTTAAAGCCCAGGATGGGGACGCTGACGTTATAATCTTCCAGTTCAACCCCAATTCTTCTTCGACCCAGGAACTTGAGCAGCCCTCCAAGTGCTCGAACCTGGGAGGAAATCAGTAATGGAGTTGAGGTAAATCCCAATGTCCTGGAGGCTGGACAACACCAGAGAAAACTATTATTTTCCAGGATTGGACTAGTACCTCCCAGGACTCAACCCTAGGAATGGGTATTGGTCCCTTTCTCCAACCAGCCCTCATCTCCCAGGACCCTTCCTACCGTGAGGAGGCAGTCAAAGGGAATAATAGAGGAGAGGAAGAGGATTTTCTCAGTGGTGGTCATGGAGTCTGGGATGAAGGAGTAGTTTCCAGCAAGAAGGCGCTGTTTGCTTATCTCCAGACCTATTTTGGGGGAAGCATGAGAGGGAAGGGAAAGGTCTTGTAGCCCAATTTTCACCCCATTTTAAGAATGAGATGATAGAAGCAAGAGAGAGGATGTGACTTGCCAAGTTACACAGGCAGTTAATGGAAAGCTGAAACAAGAATCAAATCTTCAGGGGCGACTGGGTGGCTCAGTTGGTTAAGCTTCTGACTCTTGGTTTCAGCTCAAATCATGATCTCATGGTTCAGAGCTCGAGTTTGAGCCCTGCATCTGTGCTGTCGGCGTGGAGCCTGCTTGGGATTCTCTCTCTCCTTCTCTGCCCCTCCCTTGCTCACACACTCTCTCAAAATAAAATGATGATGATGATGATGATACTAATAATAATGTACCAAATTTTCAGACTTAGTCTAATTATCTCTTTATTTTACCTAGAATATAAAGATCTTTGGCTGAGAGCACAACCTGAGAAAGACAAGTGATTCAGAATATCTATTCCTAAGGTATCTATTTGGAATTTGGGGTCAAAGGATCATATTAATAGAGGAATGAATAACACTAATGTCTTAATATCTAAGTAGAATAGAACATTCCTTATCTTTTTTACAAACCTGGGAAGGTTTTGTCTATTTTTTTTTTTTAAGGGACAAATGGGTTTGGCTTAAAGGTAAAAATCCCAACAATCAAAGCTATCCACAAAGTGTCACCACTTCCTCTTCCCAGGGAAGGCCCTCATCCCTAGACACGCCTATGTGGAAACTTCACAAGGTTTCAGGTTATTAAAGGGTAAGGAGCAGGAGAGATCTTGAGGAGACTGCTTATGGGACTTGGAGAACACAAAGGGTTAGGATAAGATAAGGCTGAGGAGAGACTTCTGATGGAGCTCAAGTAGAGTAAGGAGAAAGGGGTAGGAAAAATGGGATGAGGAATTGGGCAAAGGAAAGGAAGTACCAAAATCCACACTTGGCAAAAATACAATTTCAGGTCTCTTAGGCTCTCTGTGTTCCTGGGAGGCTGTGGGGGAAGCAGAGAAAGGGCCATGAGTCTGAACATCTCAGTCCTCTGCCTCTGTCCCACCTTCCCTCTCACCCAATTCTGGCCTCCTGGCTGTTCTCCTCCAAGACCCTTTAGTCTCCTGGAATATTCCACAGTTCACTCCTTTCCCATTTTTGCTTTTCCCCTTACCCAGTCCTTACCAAGCTTCCCTAGAAACCGAGTCATATTCTCATCCTGTTTGGCACTCGTAACAACAGACCGGGGATTGATTTCATCCAACACTTGGAAGAAGAATGGAGACCAAATGAGTAAAAGGGTCCTCTAAGGGGGTATGCATAAGGCCTCCCCTTGCTATTTCCTTCTACTCCCTCCAAAACAAACAAACAAACAAACAAACAAACAAACAAACGCACCCTCATTTCCTCCCTCTAAAAGTAAGAGGTGCTCTGCACATTGGGAGCATAGGTAGGAGTCAGGCATGAGATTGAGGAATGAGAAGACTGGCAGGGTGGCAGGAGAGAAGAGTGACCTGGAGATTGTCACTAGACTCCAAAGCCCTGCAGGACAGACATGACTGATTTGCCCAGCACCTGATACATTATAAACAATAAGTGTTGAATAATGAAATGAATTCCTATAAACAACAGGGGGAACTTCTGGGAGTCAATAAAATAAATTGAGACAGGTAAGGATAGAAGAGTGAAATACACTTCCAGTCTCAGAGTAGAGGAATCCATGGTTCTGCTCCCACCTCTCTGGAGAAGCTTGAGACTCTCATGGTCTGGGGCATCCGGCATGAAGTGGATGGTAGAGTCACTAGTGTCATAGTAGGCGATGCCCAAGTATCCTGAAGTCCACAGCGCACACAGATAGATCTATCCCAGGAAGAAGAAAGGAAACCGACAGGAAAGGAAACTGCTGGTAAGTGTAGGGTTATGCCATGTCCTACTTAATTTTAATCATTTTATCAAATCCCTGACTGAGATAAGTATCATCGTCCCCATTCAGTCAGTGTCAAACAGAGCAGAGGCAAGTGACCGGCCAGCTATTCCAAGCCCATTGATTCTAACATCCCGAAGTTCCAACCAACTCCCTGCTCTCAGGATCCAAGCGCCTGCTCCACCAGACATCAGACACCGCCGCCCCAGAGACCTCCGCCGGCTCTTGCTCGTTGTCCTCCTCCTCCTCAGCCTCCCCACGGCCCGACACTGGGGCCAGGCTGGGAAAGCTGGCCGAAGCTGCCCCCGGCTCCGGGCTCTGCGGCGTCCCGCCTGGGATCGTTCCTACGGAGAACATGGCCTTGGACGCTCTGCGGGCGCAGAAAACGAAGACGGTTCAGGAGCGGGATTTCACCGCCAGGAGGCTGGGATAGGGGGTGCGTAGACACGCAAATCCACCCGAACTGGGAGAGGGCTGAGGCGCAGGGCTGCAAGGGCCGGGGAGAGATGCGGTAACGTTTTGTTTTTAACATCTGCGGACATTTTGACGGGCGACTTCTTAGGTATATCACCAAAGTCCAGACTGCAAAACCCCACGTGCCCCACCCACATTCCGGTCACCCGGGGCTTGTACTTTGGCTGGAGGGCCCTGAGGGCCGAGTCTGCACGTCTCCTCTCCCCGCCTCTGCCAACCACGCCCCCACTATCGCTGCCCTAACTTCTCGACTTCCCACCCCAGTTGCGGAAACTCGCGGCACTTTCCCGCGCTTTCAGTCACCTGGATAGCTACGTGCGCGAAACCGCGTCACTAAGAGCCGCCCTCCCGCGAGTGAGGCACACCTGAGTAGGGGCGGGGTGCGCGCGCACACGCCCCGCCCCTCTAAGCCGCTATTGGCCGGAGAGATCCGGATCCTGCTTAAGATTTCGACAGGACTGGAGGGAGGAGAGGATCGCTGTTGCTAAGACGGCTGGACGCTGATTGGTCTATTCGCATATGGGGCGGTGTCCGAACGTTCAAACTTCCCGCCGCCTGTGCCGTTGCTTAGCACTCGGGCCTTAGGCCTTCCCGGTTTGGGCTTTGATTGACGCGGGGTGGAGCCTGTGAAAGTCGGAAGCGGAGCTTGAGTCAGAGCCTACAGAACTAACTGGTCTAGGCGGGTTGGGGGGAGCAGCCTAAAGGGGCAGAGGCGAATTGCATTTTTTTTTTTCCGGAGAGCGAAGATAAGCACATTATTAAACCTGTACCAACAACTCTAAATTAATATTTGTACCCACTGAACTAGTATTTATGAACAGCTTAGAATAGTGCCTCCTAAACTTAGTAAAAGCCACGTGTTTTAAATAAATAAACAGAAATAAGCAAGACTCCTATCCTAGTCCTCTTTTGCCTATATCCTTGGTTCAGGGTATTACCACCCCAACGAGGGAACTACTGGGTCTCAATTATAATTTTTGTCTCTCACAAGGAAGTGGAAGCGTTCGAATTACACCAAAGTCTGGTGGAGAGAAGTAGACCTGATAAGAACAGCTACACTCCTGCTGAGACATGTCTGTACCCCTCCTACAGATGCACACACACCCACATCCCTAAGTACAGAGGGGTGTTATTCATTCACTCAGCAACTATTTAGTGCCTATTCTGGGTCAGGTGGCAGACCCAAAGTACTGAACATTAATTAAGTATGGGCTTCATGAAACTTACTTTTTAGTGTGTGTGACGGGAGGGTAAGTGAGAAGATTGTGAGGGGGACAGAAATAAACAAGTATATACTTTAAAAAATATATCCTCCTCCCCAACTTTGTCCAGGGTACCCTGAGATGGGGAGATCCCATCCAAGAGGTTAGAGAAGATGGTGGGATAATCTGGCTCTGCTAAACAATGATTGGAAAATCCCCTCTAGCAAGAAAGCGGGGGAGTGAGTTAAGTGCTAGGTTAATGGTTACCCCTGGCAAACGGTTGAGCAATGGAGCTATGGAAACCTGGAAGAGACCATCATAACTCTAAGGCGTGTCAGAGAGGGACACACCTTCCAATCTGGGGTGAAAAGAGATTAGGGACTGGTTTACCAAGCCAAGGAAGGGGAGGGAGTGAAAAAAGAAACCACCTTTCAAAGAAAAGGATAGATATTAAGATAGGAGAAAAGCAGAGGTAAGGAGATGAGACCAGAGGGACACTTCTCTGATGCAGGATTTGAGGCTGCAGCCCCTGGTTTCAAATCCAGGGGGATCTGCTGAATAGTACCGGGAGAGGGCAGCATTACCTGTCATCTGGGAAATTAAGGCAAAATACCTTTTGGGTAACCAAGCCAGCCAGCCAAAGTCAATATTGATAATCAAGCCAGCTCTAGCTATAAAGCTGTAGGAGAGAAAAGAGAGGCAGAGAAGAAGCTGCCAAAACCTGTTTCAGCTCAGGGCTGGCCCTATTTGCCTGAGGCGTCTCCCAGAAGGGAGATCTTTGTGGGGCATATTCTCTGATGGACATTGACCAGCTGAAACAGAAGAGGACCCTAGGAATAGGGCTGGTTTGACCTCCTTTCCTCAGATGGAAGGGGTCCTGTGTGCAGAATTTGAGGATAACCCATGGAGAAGACTGG